GCCCCCGGCTCATCACAGCCACAGTGCGGGGAGGGCCTCCGGCCACGCCCTGTGCGGCAGCTCTGGCCAGGCCGGCCACGGCCGCCGCCCCTGGCCTTCCCCGGGCATCTCCCGTCTCCCAGCCTCTCCCGTCCTTTCATGAAAAGAATAAAGGAATCAACTCCTCAAGCTGTGGCCTCTGTGACACCTGTCTTCTCACAGTCTGATCCTGAGCGCCTTCTGCTGCGCCCCGCCCGTGCGGCCTCTGAAGCCCCGTCCACGGGGGCCCGGTGGGCGCGTGTGCAGAGCTCAGGCCCGCGTCCGCGCCCCGCGGCGCCGCCCTGGCTCGTGAGTCTCGAGTTCCGGCGGCGAAAGGGGCTGTACGTCTGTTGGCTTTTGAAATGAAATTTCGACTTTCCCCAGTGTTTCCACAGGCCTTTTAGACCAAGTCGGCCGAGACCCTGTGCTCGCCGCCAGGCCCGGTGTGGGGTGCGGGACGCCGCCCCAGCCCGGCCGGGCCAAGGCGCCGTCTGCTCCGCCCTCCCCGCTGCTCCGCTCCGTTTCCCAGCGTGCCCGTGGGGCTGCGTCACAGAAAGGAATTTGGGGGGACCCAGCTGCTGGTCCACTGCCCTTCCACGTGTTCCTTAATCTGGGAGTCCTGGCGCCCCATTTCAGGATGTTGGCACCTTGCGGGGGTGCCCCTGTAGACGCCCATCCACTTGTGTTGGGGCCCTTCCCGCGTGGGGTGACCTTGTGTCCCCGGGGGCCCCGGTCATCTGGAGCCTGCCAGGCGCCCGCATGCGGTGTGCTCAGTGGCAGCCAGCTGGCTGTACGGAGGCCCTCGAACCCCGAAAGCGGAGCCTCCACGTGACCCAGCAGTTCCCTCCTGGGGAGCTACTTCGGAGGGGACCGCACCCTCGCGGCCTCAGCGAGTGCCCGGAGCAGGAGGGTGGAGCGGCGGGCAGCGCGGCCAGCAGAGGTGACCGCGGCCGCGGGAGTGGCGCTGCGAGGGCCACCGCTCCGTGGCACCAGCCAGAAGTGGGCACAGGGGGCCGGCCAGAGGGCGGGGAGAAGACGCTGGGGCGCACGGCGGGGGGCAGCGGCGGGGGGGGGCGCCCAGCCAGCCGCGGGAGCTGTGCCCTGTCCCTGTCGCCGGCCTGAGCGTGAGAAACTAAAGGGAATTTAAAAAGCAAACAGGAAAGAGAGCGGCCGCCCCTGGCACTGCCGCCTGGGGGCCCCGAGCCAGGGCGTGGGGTCCAGCAGGACGGCTAGCGAGCCCGGGCGGCACTGCCAGGCGGCTCGGGTCAGCTCTCCCCGCTCAGCCTGGCCGCTGGGACCCGGGGGGCGGGGCGGGGGCCGGGCTCAGGCCTGGCACAACAGCTGGGCCTGACCGCAGCAGCCGGCCACCTGCTTGGCTGCGGGCGAGCCGTCAGCCGCCAAGGCCCCTAGAGTGAAGGGGGGCAGGGCCCCGGGGCTTCCGGGGAGCCGGAGTCCAAAGCGGGGGTCAGGGCTTGGGGGGTCAGGGCACTAGGGGGAGCCAGGCCGGGGGGGTCAGGACACCATGGGGGAGCCAGGCC